ACTACTAGTCCGATATGTGACCAATTTTTTTCATCAAAACGACCTTGTTGTTTGAATAATGCTTTAATTTCACCATGATTGTTATCAACATTTTGTTCACATCGTTGATTCATAAATGATGTTGTGGGTGTGTTTCTGCTAAAATATTAGTTCTCCGATTTAAATATAACTATTACTTAACCAGTTCCATCGGCGAGAAATCTTAGTCCACCAGCTTTTTTCTTATGAATGATTACTGGTGATGACCATGGGGATGTTGATGGGCGTATTTGTTGATTCTTCAACATTTTTTAAAGTTCTTCTTGCAGGTCACGTCTTTGTTGGATCGTTTTGGGATATGGTCTTGAACTGATAGGTAGATGACCGCCCGTGTTTATTGTATGTGCCACTGAAGTCGTTGCTTGAGTAATTTTCGAGATATCAAATATCTTCTCATAAGTTCGGAGAATTGTGCGAAATTCTACTTGTTGCTCTCGGTTATGAATGTGTTCAATTCATTTCTCAATTACATCTGATGTTGAAGAAGATATCTTATTATGCAATGAATCCAGATCTGTAATATCTGTAGAGGAGATATTTTGATTAACAAGGCTTTCGAAGGCATTAAAGGATTCGATATTGGACGGGGTGTGTGTAACATGACCCAAGAGGGAATTCATATAGAGAGTTCGTGTGTAATCGCTTGAATTATATATTGTCAAAAATGTTGTATAATTATGGACGTGCAGGAGAGCAGATGACATCAATATTGATTTGTCTTGTTGGATATCGAAATCGGAGTGGAAGTAAACGGTGTTGGCTGATGATAGTTCGAGTTTCGCTTGCATAATGCCAGATTCACGTGGAGGTATTTTAATAGAGTTGACCAGCTGAACGTTCAATGTGAGGTTATCGATTTGTTTATCGAAGCTATTATAGGTACGGCCGTCAGATGAACGGATAGATACTTAATTTTCTTCACCCCGCCTCCGATACGCACGCACCTGATGATAACGACGATTGGCCAACTCCAACTGAATCGTGGACTAATCATGAAATTAAACCACACCGACTACTCACAAGGACTAATCATGAAATCAAACCACAACGATCAACTTACATACCATATCATCACAATCTGTCACAACTAAATGCTGTCACAACTAGATAACAAGCAAAATTATTTTCACATCCTCCTCACAGACATTCACCCCAAACCACTTCAACACCTTCACTACCGCAATCTAATAAAAAATTATCACCATCACAATCATACGATTTTAGTATTGCACGAATTCAATACGAGCAACAGAATGATATCGTCCTGCAAAGGAAAATTAAAGAAGTTAAGAACGTGCCAAAAAGCCATGCATATGACATTAAAGATGATCTATTCTATAAATTACTACCACGAGGTGGTACAAAAATTAAATTACTCTATATACCATTAACAATGATTGAAGAGATATTGTCTGCTCACCATGATCATCCCTTAAGTGGTCATTTCGGTGTTGAGAGAACATGGGAAAACTTAAGAAATAAATATTACTGGCCAAATATGAAACAGTCAGTCTCCAATTACATAAAATCCTGTCCAGAATGCTCAAGGTTTAACATTGATCGACACAAACCATCCGGATTATTACAACCAATTGAACCACCTGCTGAAATATTTCAAGTCTTGGAGATTGACTGGTGGATCTCTCTTTCGAAATCTTTAGACGGAAACAAATATGTTCTGGTTATTACGGATCGATTATCTGGTTATGTTTTTGCGAAAGCTTCCCCAACAAATAAAGCTCAAGATACCGCACGAATTTTACTAACAGAAGTTATTCTCGTTCACGAGGCTCGAGACAAGGTTATTAGTGATCAAGGTTCACATTTTAACAATGAACTACTACAAGCAATCACCAGCCTAATTGGATGCAAACATGTCTTCTCAACACCGTACCACCCTCAAACCAATGGGCAGACAGAAAGATGGAATGCTACACTTGCCACACAGATCGCCAAATACTGTAATGAAAATCAAGATAATTGGGATACTTACTTACCATCAATCGTATTCGCCTATAATCATGGCATCCACAATTCTAGCGGTTTTATACCCTATCAGTTAGCGTTTGGTCGCAAAGCAAGAAGTCCATTTGATGCACCGCATACAAGTTTCACATTCAAAAAACCCCATGATTATTGGAGCGAAGTTTGCCAATATAAAAATATTGTCATTAAACAGGCGAAGCTGAATATCCTCCGTCACCAACAAGTGACAAAACAACGCTACGATAGCAATAGACAAGATCAAGATTACAAAATCAACGATTTAGTCTGGATGAAGGTGTTAGTTGGAAGATCGAAACTTGATGAACGATATACTGGCCCGGTACGAGTCATACAAGTGCTAGGCCTATTGACATATCTAGTTCAAGATGATGAGTTACAGCAATTCCAGGTTCATTCGAACAACATCAAGCGTGTATATCCACGTGATCAAGATATCCCATTTATTTAATACCATACTAACAACGATGAACACCGACGCATACACATATTTTCTCTCTACATGCTCGTATAGACATTCCCAATCTATTTTTAACCGAATATGCTATTCAGATATTTTTGTTATCAATCAATATTTATATGAATATTTTGTTTCTTTCGATCCTGTTATCAATTACCACATAAATATAGGAAGTGTGGACGGTGCACAATCACCCTTTTTCATTTCCTCAATCAGTTATTAACTATTATTTTACTATTATTATTATTATGGTATCCATTGCAATATCATTTCTTTTCTTACTTTCTATCCCAACCACAACATCATTTATGAATCAACGATGTGAACAAAATGTTGATAACAATCATGGTGAAATTAAAGCATTATTCAAACAACAAGGTCGTTTTGATGAAAAAAATTGGTCACATATCGGACTAGTAGT